CCTGAATGTGGTGCTGGTGGAGGTTGGTATCCTTACGGCAGCTAGGGGCCTACTGATCCCAGGGTCAGGCTCCAGGGCTGTCCTGTTCCCTGCACTCCTGTCTCACCCTGTCAAGGGCAGTTCCAAGGGGCCCTTCCTTGACACTGAAGTCCCTGCTCCCACCAGGAAGGACCTGCAACCTACAGACGTAGGCCCATGGCCCCAGCTGGTGTGAATTGGCTGTAGCTCCAGAGGAGGTGGGAGGAAGGAGGAGGGTGAGAGGGCATCCCCCATGGTTGGTGCACATTCATTGCAGCCCCAGTGGGGCTGGGTCCTGGCTGGCGTCAGCTGGTCATCGCACAATTAGAAACAATGGGTCACATCTGTTATGCAACTGGGGAGTCTGGGACTTGGTGTCTCATCTGTGTGGGGTCCCTCTAGAAGGGGCTGGCATTTCTCTGCAGGCAGCTCCTGCTCCCCCTCCACCTTCCCCATAGGCACACATGAATCCAAGTCCACATCCGGCAGAGACCACGGCTGGAGAGCAGGAATCTCACCCCTTAGTGCAGCCAGAGGAACAGCAGATACTGGCTCTGCCATCCCTGATGGGAAACAACCTGGGGGGCTGGAGCCTAGGCCATGCCCCAGCACCAGGAGGCAGCTCTGGTGAGGCAGGAGCAGAAGGCGCTAAGCAGGGGGAAGTGCTGTGTCCATCCTGCACTTGAAGGTGTCTGGGGAAGGGTGTGCTGGTTCCTGCTTTGCTAATTCTGATTGTGGGTAAAATGTGCCCTTGGGCTGAAGCACAGGACATTGCATCCTGCTGTGGGGCATGTGGAGATTTTGCCCTAGCAAGGTATCCCATAGAACCGTCCTCTCTGCCTGCTGCACTGGTAGCAGGCAGAGGGATGGGGCCCAGCACCTTCCAGGATAGGCATCCTCTAGCCTTAGGAGGTGGTGAATGGGAGGCACTCTCTCCCTCATCTCAGGAAGATGAGGGGTCCTAGCCTGGAGCAAGGCAAGGATACAGCTGTGTGGTTGTCTTGCTTTTCCCCATGTGACGTGATTAGTTTAGACCCTGTAGCCACAAACTGAGGTGGAGGCACGGGGAGGATTTGGGGTGAGGAAAGCATCAGGCATTTGCCTGGATGAAGGGGAGAGGCCGTGTGGGGACAGACACAGGATTGGGAAGGCAAGCAGATCTGCTGAGCAGGAACAGATCTGTAGCTTGGGCAGGCCACGACAGCACATCCCAGCAGGGTGAGGTGACAGCTGCTAATGTCTGATTCAGGGTGGGGACATGGGGTGGTCCCTGGGCCTCGTGTGGGGTGGCAGTGGGTTGGCAGGCAGGGATGGAGTAGATTGGGAGCCCTGGCTGTGCTGTGGTGAGGCACCTCCCTCCAGCAGGCTGTCAGGATAACCCAGATGGCCACCCCTTGGTCCCTCTTCTCTCACAAGTGTATGTGGCTGTGAGACAAGGAATGCATTTCACAGTTCCCTTCCTGGCCAGGCCAGGGGCTGCACTAGCAGCCAGTGGGCCGTGGCCTCTGCTGCTGCAGGCCTGACCTGCCAGGTATGATAAGGCCAGGCCAGGGCTCATGCAGCTGGTGACTTGCTGACATCTGGGTGGTGCTCAGTCATTGTCACCCATGCCCATCACCACCCAGCCCTTGGGGTCCCCCCTGCATCCTGATTTGACTAGGAAGCATAAGAGACTTCCCTGAGAGCTAAGTGGATTGGTTGGGCTGGTACCCAGACTGATTTGTTAAGAAATGTTGTTCGTGGGTTTGGCAGGGCAGGCTTTCATAGAGCAGGGGAGGGACCCATTCCTGTCCCCACATAATATTTATTATCCTTATCTTGATAAGACTGTTGGGCTCAGAAGTCACCCACTAATTTGTTGAATCATGGCTGAAGGTTCCTTATGGCCACGTGAACATACTCAAGGTGATGTCAAATTAGTTCCTGGCCCTTGTACTTACTGTGCTGGAAAAGGTGGCTTCACAGAAGTATGCTGATGGAAAGACCCAACACTGCTGCCAGCGCTTTGGCTCAGTGCTGGGTGTTCCTTGTACAATGTCAACCAAAGTGGGGGCTTTGGATGTTTGCTGTTCTGAGCTCAATGACTGGGAAGTTCATGGAGATGATCCTCCTCCATAAGCACTGAAAAGACACACAGGACTGTATGCCAGTTGATTCAGTCAATGCACTGGAAACCATTATGATACCTTTGTGTAGGACTGAGAAACCTATAGTCCGACCTTCTCTTTACCTACCACCTGTGGCATCTGCCAGAGAGTCTGCAACTCTAGGATCCACCTTCTTAGCCATCGATGGATGGATCTACAACATTTTACTTGACCCATGAGAGTTATCCTCCTTGACTGCGAGGGATTGCAGCTGCCACGGACCCTTGTGCACTTCAGTTCCAAGCACCTGATGCACAAAGACAGTCTAAATGGCTGTGCTGACAGGGTCTATGAGTCCGTCTAGCTGTACTGGAAGCCCACTTCACTTGTTTGTGCCTTTCCTGCAGTTGAGTTTCAGTGTCACTGGTGATGTTACCTGCGAGAGAAACCATGGTCTCACTGGACATTGCTAGCTATCTTTGCTGCTTCCTTGTTGAGCTATTGAGCCACGTGCCATGCTGTATTCATCCATCTCTGCTGCTTTCTGTGTTGGGGTGTGTGTGTACAAGTGATGCTGAGGCATGGCCCCTGTCTTCTTCCTGGCTCCTGGCCAGACCTCTCCACCTGGTGATGGGAGACATGTGGGAACAATAACTGGACTGTAAGCCATCCAAGCTTTGGACACATCATGGCATAGTGGTCAGAGGGTCATATTTTCTTAGCTACGCAATCTCCCTGGTGGCTTCTAAATGGAAAGAAACCAAATGAAATGGCCCTGAGGAGATGAAGTGTGTGGCAATCCCAACCTGAGCAATAGGTCAAGGGGGCTCCCTGGTGCCAGGGGTTCGGGTCCTCAGCTACTAGGGATTCAGCTCCCAGTTTCTCTATAGACAGCTACTGCCAAAGACAGATGTGCCCTCTTCCTGCTCCCTGTTGTCTGTGACTCAGTCCCTACACTAAGAGATGGCTTGGTACAAAAGTACCAAGTTCATGTAGTTTCCAGAAGTCATGTTTCAGGACAGAATTGGGCTGCATTTAGGTTCCTTAATCCACTTAGGTGCTTAGTAGGTGGAGTAGGGCTTGGCTCTGGGTTTCTGTTATCCACCCTCTCGTCCAATAGGAAGGCCACTCCAGTCAGTCCTTTTCCCACCCATGTCATTGCTGCCAGCCCAATAATGGGCTGGCAGTAGGACTGTTCCTTGTTCAGTTCTGGGCCCGCAACCATCCGGTTTCTCTGGCCCTCCATCTCATCGCTGGTTCCTGTCCTAGGACATCCTTGACTACTGTCGGGCTCCTCCTGTCCCCTCCTTCTCTTCAGTATAATGCCTGATCACTTCTGAGTTCCTGTTCATTACCCTCCCTTCCCTGAGATCAAGCTGCATCCCATTTGCTCCTCCATGTGCTTACCTGCCTTACCAAGAAGGACTTACTGCTGTTTTACCTGCCTTACCAGGAAGGACCTGCAACCTGCTACAGACATAGTGGCATGCACCCAGCTGGTGTGAATTGGCTGTAGCTTCAGAGGAGGTGGGAGGAAGAAGGAGGGTGAGAGGAAATCCCCAGTGGTTCCTGTACATTGACTGCAGCTCCAGTGGCGCTGGGTCCCGGCTGGTGTCAATTGGCCATCACAAAATTGGAATTGGCGGGTCACATCTGTCGTAGTGCAAACTGAGGAGTCTGGGAGTTGGTGTATCTCACCTGTGCTGGGTCCCTTTGTAAGGGCCTGGTGTTTCTCCGCAAGCAGCACTTGCTCCCCCTCTACCTTTCCCATAGGCACACAGGAATCCAAGCCCACATCTGGTGGGGACCACGGCTGGAGAGCAGGATCTCACCCCTTCGGGCAGCAAGGGGAACTGCAGAAACTGACTCCCTCACCACTGCACCAGGGTCCAGCTGTGGTGAGGCAGGAGCAGAAGGTGCTGAGCAGGGGGAGGTGCTGTGTCCATCCTGCACTTAAGGGTGTCTGGGAAAGGGTGGGCTGGTGCTTGCTTTGCTGATCCTGATAGTGGGTGAAATGGCTAGAAATTCTGCTTGGGCCATTCATCAGAATACCTCTGTGCCACCGGGGGACTGTCCTGAACATCTTTGACCAGAAACTAACCTGGTCCAAAGTGCAGTTTGGCCATGCCAGGTTGCCAACAGACAGCACCCCAGCCACTGTGCTAAATGTATGGACCTAAATAAGGACCTGGATTTTGGGCTGGGATTATACCCAGAAATCCTTCTTAGGCCACCCCAGACCACACCTCTGTGCCACTGGAGGATGCTTGTGGACATCTCTGACCAGAGATTTGCCCAGCCCAAAGCGCAGTTTGGCTGTGCCAGGCTGCCAAAAGACAGCCCCCCAGCCACTGTGCTAAGTTTGTTGACCTGAATAAGGAACTGGAATTTGGGATAGGATAATAGCTAGAAATCCTTCTTGGGGCACTCCATGCCATGCTTCTGCGGCACCAGGGGACTCTCCTGGACATCTCTGACCAGAGACGTGCCCAGTCCAAAATGCAGTTTAGCTGCACCAGGTTGCCAACTGTTGCCACCCTCCAGACACTCTGCTAAGTATCTGGACCTGAATAAGGACCTGAATTTTGGGATGCAAAGGACTTTTCAGAACTGAGTTTTGGGCTGGGCAAGTCTCTGGTCACAGATGTCCAGGAGAGTCTCCCAGTGCCACAGAGGTGTGGTCTGGGGTGGCCCAAGAAGGATTTCTGCATATAATCCCAGCCTAAAAGCCAGTTCCTTATTCAAGCCATTATACTTAGTATAGTGGGCATGGGGGCTGTTAGTTGGCAGCCTGGCACAGCCAAACCATGCTTTGGGCTGGGCAGGGTTCTTTGGGACAGTCCCCCAGTGGCATCACCATGAAATTTGGGGTGGCCCATGAAGTATTTTGCCCCATAATCCCATCCTAATTTGACCTTCATTTAGGGCTCTGTACTTGATGTGGGCTATTATTTTACATATTAATTAGTGCATATGCATAGCTAATGACATTCTCTCTCTTTAGAATTCATTAATGATAAGTTTTTATCAGGTCTAGATTAGCTTTGAAAAAGGAACCGGGAATAAGGAATAGGGAACTGGGAATAAGGAACCAACTTCAGCCGCGTGTCTTCTCTCACAAGTGCATTTGGCTGTAAGACAGGGAATGCATTTCACAGCTCCCTTCCAGGCCAGGTCAGGGGCTGCACCAGCTGCCGGTGGTCCAGGGCCTCTACTTCTGGAGACCTGAGCTGCTAGGTAGGTAAAGCGAGGCCAGGCCAGAGCTCACGCAGCTGGTGACCTGTCCCTGTGGTGTCCCATAAGCAATAGCTGCCACCCACGCCCAGGAAGTAGGGGGGCTCTCCTAGAGGCAAGTAGGTTACTTGGGCTGGTGCCCAGGCAGATTTGTTAAGACACGTTGCTCATGGGCTTGGCAGGGGAGGCTTTTGCATGGCAGGGGAGGGACTCAGCCCTGTCCCCACTCCCAGAGGACATAGGAAAGCTTTGTGCCCTGGTTCCCCCTGGCTAAAAAGGCGGTGGTACTTTCAATGTAAACACGCAGAGGAGGTTTTACTTTCACTTCCTTTCTTTCTCTTCCCTCCAACAGTGCCACAGCTTGGTTCTGGAGAGGATCTGCTGAGCTGCCCCTTCCCAGAGCCCGAGCAGAGCCTGCTGGATGCTTGCCCCCCCTGGCCGTGTGGGCAAGCAGCGCTGCCCTGGGGCCCAACTGGATGGGGAGCTGTTGCCTTCTCTGGGATGCTGTTGCCGTCACCATCTGCCTCCTCCTGTGTGTTCAGACATCTGCTTCAGGTGATGACACCCCTTCCCAGGCCTGTGCGGTGCGGGGCCCCCTCTCCCTGCAGCATGTACCTACCCCTTTGGCATAGCATATCTTTGCTCTCTCTTTAAGCCAGACCAAGGGGCATGAAACAGGCAGTTCTGGGTACACTGCAGTCATTGCACCGTGGAGGTGGGAGGGGCTCTTGGCATTTTTGCTCCCCTTGCTCAGCGGTACAGGCGCTACTGGAAATGGGGTGCCTGCTGCTTTACCACAGCCTCATGATCTGAGCTGGGAGCCTCCCCTATAAACATTTCCCTGTCCAAACTGGTCTTAACTACTTGTCTCCACATCCCTGTTCATCAACGTCAATTGGTTTAAAGATTAAGTGGTTATAGGGTTATACTGAGTTTTATAGAAGACAGGGCAGCATGGCACCCTAGACTAACCTGTTCAGAGAGGCATGCTGTGTTTGTGCCCTGGTGGACACAAACCTGCTGAAAGTTAAACCAACATAGTGCCCATCTTCAGAAAGGACTCCAGAGGTGACTCCAGGAAATATAGACCGGTGAGTCTCAGCTTCTTTAGCTGGAAAATTGATATAATCCAGAATAAAAAATTAAATCAACAGTCACTTGAATGAATCTAACATGCTGTGGAAGAGTTAGTGCTGTTTTTGTAAAAGGAAATCCTGTACCACCCATCAGCTGAACTTTTGAGGATGCTGACAAGCATGTGGAGAGTGGAGATCCGGTTGCTATATTATATTCCCATTGTCACATCCTTCCTGCGGTTAGGTTCCTTGCCACAGGCTCTTAAAACAGTTGTCATAAGATTGAAGGGAAGGTCCTTTTATGGGCCAAAGGCTAGTTAGGAGAGAGGAAACAAAGTGTAGGGTGATAAATGATCGTTTTTTCAAGATGGAGGAAAGTCTAGAGGAAGGGTCCCCAGGAACCTCGTTGGGCCCACTTGTATTCATCATTTTCATAAATGGCCTGGAAAAGGGAGCATATAGTGAAGTCACAATATTCTCACATGATTCTGAATTATACCAGGTAGGCAAATATCAAGCTAATGGTGAGGAGTTGGAGGAAGATCTCACAAACCAAAGTGAGTGAGCAATGAAGTGGCAAATGACTTCTAGTGCAAAGTAATGTGAAAGGGGGAAAATCACCTCAATGACACGTCCACAGTGGTGGGCTCTGAACTAGCCATTATCATTCAGAAAAGAGCGTGGTCTCTGTCCATGCAGGAGTCTGTGTCCTAGAACATGTCCTTTCTGTGTAGCTCTTGCAAATGATTATTGTGACTGTGGTGCCCAGAGGGCCCTCTGTATTAGGCCCTGCGGATGCCCCCCCTAAGGGCTGGGCCTGAACTGTTTGCAGTCCCAAGTAAGCAAACAGGAGTTGTATCCCCCTTGTGGAGCAGGGAAACTGAGGCAGGGTGTGATCTGTTGGTAACCCCATATCACACACAGGTCCCTGGCCTATGCCTGACCAGCCAAGCCAGCCACTCTGCCTGCTGGCCCCACTGCTGGTCCTTTGATCCCGTGAGCACTCTGGTTCTGTCTTCCCAGACACCAAGGTCTTCTCCCCCTCAGAGCTGTTCCAGGTGCTGTGCTCTGCCAGCCCCCTGGTTGCCCTGGTTGGGGGAGAAGTGATTTTAAACTGCCGTCTGTTCTCTAAGCGACATGTCCAGGGTGTGCACACGTGATGGACCTGGCCCCAGCCCAGCCAGGATGTCCACATCCATGAGATGGATGGGAGCAAGAGGCAAGGGGTAGCATACCAGGGCAGAACTGAATTCCTCACCCAGGAGATCACCCAAAGGAGCTGTGGTGGGCCAGTAGGGGGCGCTCCTGCGTTGAGCCGCCCACCTCCCTGTGCCCGACCACCTTCCAGGCTCCGAGTGCCTCCCTGGGGTGCCTCCCGTCCGGCCGACCCCTTCCCTGGAGCACACCCGCTAGCCTGGGGGTCCCGCTGCCACCATCCAAGGCTCTGGACTCACTTCTGGCTCTGCGCACCTTGGAAAACACAGGCCTGATCGTCCAATGGGTCCTAGACCCAATACAAGCACTTGGGGCACTTCCCCAAGTCAGGGGCTGATTAGGGAAGCCTCCCTTAGTCCACAGACATAAGGGGCCTCCTTGGCATAATTTAGACCCACCCCTCAATAAGTCTGCCACACTGGTCTCAAAGGAGAACTTTATTGATTACAGGGGTAGGGCAGAAATAGGGTAAAAGGTAGAGCAATATCAAGAAATCTTACAGGAATATCAAAGGAATCCCATAGAGCAAACCAGGGTGGCTGAGGTAGCCGTTTAAACACGCATCTGAGTTACTGAAGCGAAATATCTGATCGGATCTCTAGTAGCTTACTCACTCGCATCATCCAGAGGTGGTTGTTGTTTCCTCTGGGGGCAGGGCACTCTTGGAGCATGCGGTGATGAGGAGAGAGCCAGGTTCAGATTCACCTGGATGACCGCATGGCTAATGGCTCTCCTTCTTCCTGGCCCGGGCCTTTTTATAACCTCTCTGACCTCAGCAGCCCGGTCCAACCAAAGCTGCCAATACTGGCTACAAACCGACCAATCTGCATGGCATCCCTGGCTACCCGGGGCCGCGCGCAGGGCCAGGTCTTCCCCCCCTGCCCAGGTGACCAGAGCATCGCCTCCCAGGCACCAGGCTTTTGTCTGCAGACAAGGAGCGAGATCCCCGCTGTGAGGGATTCAACACCCGCCTCCCAGGCTGGTGGAGACAGATCTCTGGAGAGGGGCACCGACAGTGGCATTTCTGCCACAGGAGCATCTCCCTGAAGATCAGATAAAGGGCAGGACCTGTGTGAGGGCAAGTCAGACGCCTACAACACCTCAGCCCTGCTATAGCATAATGTAACAAATGAGTGATATTACTGCAGACATTTCTCTGGTCTGTGTGCTGTGTGTTGGAGTTAAATTGATGCTCAGAAAAAAGTCCCAAGAAAGTCTGTGTTTCCCGGGGCTTTCTGTTTGCACATTCACAAGTGGGGCTTCCCAAAGCCTTGGAGGGCACCTGCCTGGCCACTTCCCATTGCCATCTCTGAGGTACATTCATCAGCTGGATGTAGCTCAGTAAAAGGTGGGTCCAGAACCACTGTCCCCCATGGAGCAACAGCCCACATGCACCAGCTGGGGGGTCTGGTCTATGGGGCTGTGGCTGATCCTCATTAGCTGAGGCTGTTGGCTACAAATGTCCAACTCGAGATCCTTAAAATTCTAGTTTATTAGGCGGATTGAAACACTGTAATGAGTTACACCTTGGGGCTGGTCCCCACACACACACACATGCATACACATACACACACACACACACACACACACACACACACACACACACACACA